ATCTTTATGAATCAACCAAAAGGTTTTAAAGACAAGTTAAAACCTGATTATGTGTGTTTTCTAAAGAGATCCCTATACGGTCTAAAGCAATCACCTAGACAGTGGTACAAGAGGTGTGATTCCTTTGTACTCACTATAGGATTTCAAAGAAGTAAATTCGATCACTGCCTATACTTTCAACACAACGAGAATGATAACAATTATTTGTTCTTGTTGCTCTATGTGGACGACATGCTTTTAGTTGGATCATCTCCTAATAAACAATATAAAAGCAGATCTTAGTGGAGAATTTGACATGAAAGACCTAGGAAATGCTAAAAGGATTCTAGGCATGGAAATAAAACGAAATAGGTCAAATTCCATCGTATTCTTGCATCAGTCTCCATACATATCAAAGGTGTTGAAAAGGTTTAATATGAGTGACTGCAAACCTGTCACGTTGCCTTTTGCAAACCATTTTGTTCTATCTAAAGAACAAGCTCCCTGCAATGAACGTGAAGTGGAATACATGAGTAAAATTCCATACTCAAATGTGAATGGTTTCATAAAGTATTTGATGGTTTGCACCAGACCGGACTTAGGATTCGCTGTTAGTACTCTCAGTAGGTACATGTCTAATCCAGGTCCTGAACATTGGGAAGCATTAAAGTGGCTTTTAAGATATTTGAAGGGTACAAGTGACGTAGGTCTAAAATTTAGTGCTAATAAGGAAGGTGTGAAATTAAAGGGTTTTGTAGATGCTGACTATACAGGAGATAGGGATGGTAGGAAATCAACTTCCTCTTACGTATTCACCTTATCAAATTCGTGTGTTAGTTGGAAATCACAGTTACAACACATAGTTACACTATCCACTACAGAGCCAGAATACATTGCCACCACTGAAGCAATTAAAGAGGCTCTATGGTTTATAGGTATACTTCATGAACTGAGTGTCTTGAATGAGTATGTGGTTGTGTATTCTGATAGTCAGTCATCCATACATCTGTGTAAGAATTTTGTTTTTCACGAACGCACTAAACATATCGATGTTAGGTTACACTTCATTAGGGATATAATATCACAAGAAGTAGTAAGACTTGGAAAAATTCACACACAATATAATCCTTCAAATATGGGCACGAAAGTGCTGCCACTGGTAAAATTTAGAAGTTGCAAGGAGCTTCTAAACATCGGTACAGGTAAATGATTTCCAATTTTATCGGTTTTCTGTTAGAGATGTCACTAATGAAAAACGTTTTTCTTTGCAGGTCCTTTGACACCAAGGTGGAGGTTGTTAGATATCATGTTGTCAAACGACCTCCCGGGCGATGATGAAAACCAGTTTTATCAGTCGACATGAATGATTGAACGATAAATCAACACCGAATAATGAGATGACCCGACCTAGCGTTGCTTTACCTATTGGATGGCTAATAACTTTTGTGGCTTGTTGGTGTGCTATTGGGACTTAACCCTAGTCGAGCCTACTTACCATATTATAACTTACCATAAGTTGGTCATTGGACTATTATATATATTGGTAATTCTCTTCTTCCTTCATGTCCCGTTTTAGAACCCGAGAGAGAGAGGCAGTTTTCTTCTTCTTCCTTGTGCATCCCGTTGATTGATTTTCTCTACCTATTGCTTGAGTCTTTGTGACCCTTACCTGTGTGGTATCCATCCTAAGTGAGTGGAAGAAACAACAAGCAAAAGGAGCAATAGCAACCATAGGAAGAAAGCATGCCGGCGGGATGGTCCTTCTTCGGTTTCTTGGTGTTGATTCTATGATTAATGGTTAACTGAGCCCGGAAATCACCTTGAGTAGCTAGAGAAAGATCCTAACATATTGATCAGATAATTTAATGCATTCAACTCATAGCAAAATCAACACATGGAAAACTTAAAAACTGAGAATCTTAATAAGAGAATGTAAAGGATCCCAATTGGTTACATTATTCCCCCTAACAATGAATTTAGCTACTCATAATGCAAGTAGAAAAATAGGAAATTGTCTTAGAATACATCACCGGATTTGTAATAAAGATGTAGAAGAAAAAAGTAGAATTCTTACACCAAGATCTCCTTCCTCTTCCAAAGAATACTTCTAATCTTCAATTGATTGGTGTTAATCTTCTTGAATTTCTCTTTTGAATCTCCCTTCTTTTTGTCTTCTCTCTAATATGTCAAGTGCGTGGCTTGATCCCACAAATTTTTCGTGTGCGGCTCCCTCCTAATTTAGGTCTTCAATTGTGTAGTTATAATGTCTTGGAGTTTAGGGAAAGATTTTGAGATGAGTTGGGTAGAGAAAGAATGGTAAAAATCCAAAAAATTACTCCCGTACGACGGTGCCTGGGCGCTACGATTTGGACGCCTGGGCGCTGACTTTCTATCAAAATTTCAGCATCATGGATCTTAGGCGCTGAGGACTACTTCGGTTGCACTGCACAATTTTTAGTATTTTTATCATAATTCTTTTTTTTCGATATCCGATTGAGGCAACTCAAGATGCGTTGGAAAGGTAACTCAAAGAGCTACAACTTTGTTTCAGATATTATTCTCCAATTCGATCGTTTACTATGTCAAAAAATGAGTCTCAATATGAGGCTAAAAACTCGGTGCAAAACTTTTTGGTTGGAAAATGATTTATGATCATATCTTGACTAAATTTGATCCCTTTGACACCTTCCTTCATCCAATTGGCTTCTAGAACTCTCGGATCTTCATTTCAAGTTTTGACACGACTTTTGATTAATTGCATTTTAATCCTCGAGCTTTAGATCTCTTACATTTTGATCATTTCATCCAATTTCACTAACTTTTGCCTATTTCCTTCCTTTGGCCTCTTTTAGCTCTTGTTTTCTCCATTTTCATCAATCTACAAAACAACACCAAAATAACTTGTTAGCACTTCTAAAATACTCTCTAAGATAGCATAATCATGAAATTAATGGCATAATATAATGAGTGTAAATCACTCATCAAACACCCCCAAACTTAATCTTTTGCTTGTCCTCGAGCAAACACCAAAACCCATAAAATAATTAATTGACACACAAGCACAACTAAGACAGACAAAATCACTTAAAATAAATTTCGCTAGATAGCTTGCCTTCATGTCTCAGGATTAAAAATATAACTTCGATTCCATGAACCATTTCAAAGCTATAATGCAAAATCTAAATTCTCACCCATTCAATGCAAAACAGATGTGTGTGTGTGGAGAGTCAAGTGCAACGCTGTACAATAATAAGTTGGCCCAATTCCCGACCTTAGAAGTCAAATTTTTCCTAACATTGCTCGTGGGATTCTCATAGCCCTAAACTTGTTTTCTTTTCTCTTTCCAAGGGTGTAACCTAAGGTTAAATTTTCAATATTAATTTCTTACACTACTCAAGTTTGGTTAGATTTTACTAATTGTAGTTCCACATGTCAACAAATGAGGATTCTCCTTATTTTTGACTGCTTCAACCTCTAGGAATCAACCAATTTACTAACCCCTTATCAAATGTCTAATCCTCTAAAACAAGTGTTCGGGGCTTAATCAAGGCATTTGATATCTATTTTTTTCTCTTTTTTTAAATATTTTTTTTTCATATATATCTTTATTCTTTAATCACTCTTTGTGCGGACGTCTTTCCCTTAAACTTTCTAAATGACCCCTGTAGCGAGTTTTAGACCGATGACTCCCAAATCAGATGACTTTAGGGCACCAGGTTTTAAGCCCTTACAAGCTTAATCACTTGAGTAATAAAGGCTACGAAGAGACGATTTACAATGAGATTATTAAAGTTGTCCTCACTGAGATCTTTTTTTTATGCGATGATTAGTGCAATGCCTCTTATTAAACACCTATCCTCAAAAATCGACCTCTAACTTAAGGTTCTCACCCAATTTTCATCCTATTGGTCTCAAATAATCCACACAAAAATTAACACACACGAAATCCACATTTATCTCCAAATTTCCCTATAGCAGTGCATTCATCCAAACGTCCTAAGTTTGGTTTAAGTGTATTGTGATGTTTAATGGTTGTTTGGGTTTAGCATCTAAGTTCTCTATTTCAACCTATAAACGTGAATCAACCTCCTCATGCACAACGCTACAATCAACTCACGTGCAAAATTATAATTTTCGTTTCACATGAATAAGCAAAAATCTAACTCAAATACATAACTCCTCCACAATTCATAAATCAACGCATGTTCTCAATTACACATATCAATACCGGCAAGGTTATCTAACACACACAAGCATGCAACACAAACACATAAAACAAGCAAATCACACATAAGCATTCGAGAAACTCAACAATGTAAGCAAATGATGTCACTCCCCCAAACTTAACTGAAATATTGTCCTCAATGTGAAATTTAAAGGAAAAGGAGGAGGACTTCCTTGAAATGTCAGTATTGCCTATGATGTTGTGGTGTCTTGGTGTTGCATTTGATCTACTGTCTTCTACATTTTCCCCCAAACTTGAGATTTGTCCTATTTTCTCCATGTCCATGTTGGTTTGAGTGTTTCGCGACATCATGTTCTTGAAAAAAATAAATTTGAAAAATTAAACTCATAGAACAAGGACTACTTAGCTCAAATATTTAATAATCAACTTAATTACTCCAAGACATATGGGTAGAAGGGGTATATGTGATGAATCCTAAATAAACTATAAATTAAACTACCTTAGAACTTTGAAAATAAAATAAATAAAATAAAAGCTTGGGTTGCCTGCCAAGAAGCGCTTCTTTTAAGTGATTAGCTTGACTTGTGCCGCTGATTTATCATGCTGGTTCAAACCAAGTTATTCCATCATTACATTTTGTGCAATTTTCATTGATGCAATCCTTTTTTGCTCCCCAGATTTTGATTTGTCCATTCTTATATCTACCAAGAAATTCTCCAAAATTTGATTTTTTGTTCTAACAGCTTCGTCGATCAGGTGGCTCTTCTTCATCAATTCTACAGCAATCATTTTTATTGGGAGGTTTCTCATATTGGATGTAAATATTGAATATCCCCTATTTATCCTCCACCCTCAAGATTAGTTCTCCCTTCTCTATGTCAATAAGGGTTCGTCCCGTTGCTAAGAATGGTCGACCCAATATAATTGGAATATCTCGATCTTCTGGTATGTCCAATACAATGAAATTCACAGGAAATATTAAATTTCCTACTTTTACGAGTATATCCTCAACTTTTCCACGTGGCCTTGCGATTGTTCTATCAGCGAGTTGCAGCGTTATTGATGTTGCTCTAAGCATATTAGCACCAGTGTCACACAATGCATTAGTTGAATAGGAATTTCCAATTGAAACTGATAAAGTAAAACTCCCTGGATCCTTCAATTTAGGAGGCAATTTTCTCTGGACTCTTGCACTACTTTCCTCAGTTAATGCCACAGTTTCAAACTCCGGAAGCTTTCTTTTCTTTGTAAACATCTCTTTCAAAAATTTCTTATAGCTTGGAAATTGTAGTATCGCATCAATGAGCGGAACATTGATCTGGAGTTTCTTGAGAACATCGAGGAATTTTTCATATTTTGTATCTTGTTTGTTCTTCTTGAGCTTTTGAGGAAAGAGAATGAGAGGCATGTAAGCTTTGTCTAGACTTGGTGTTTTGGCAGTTGATGTTTCTGTACTTTCTCCATTTTCACTTGCGTTTGGTGCAGATTTTTCTACCCTTGTAGCTTCATCAATCACTTCTTGATCATCTTTTCTTTTGGGTCTCTCTGTAGTGATCTCTGGCGATTGTACCTCACTCTTTGGATTTATGATATGAATATTTTGCTCTATCGACTTCTTTCGAAGTCTTTGGGGAAACGGAAGTGGAGATACATATGCTTTAGCTTTTACGAGCGGCCTGGGTAGATCGTTCTCCACTACTTTAATTGCCATCAACTGTTCCTTAGAATTTATCATTGTATTGCCTGGCAATGTCCCTTATGGAAGTTCTGCAAGTTATTATGCTATCTGACTATTTTGTGTCTCCAGTTTCTTGATGGATGCCTGCTGATTTTGAAGTTCGTGCCAATTTGCTGGAACACCTTGTCCGTCTTCTGCACATATTTTTGAAACATCTCCCCCAAACTTGGTCTTCTTTCTTGTTGGAAATTGTTACCATATGAGTTGAAATTACGGGAACTATTTTGAATAAAGTTTACTTGTTCCTCTGAAGAAGTGAGCATCATGCAGCTCTCTGTAGCGTGATTTCTTCCACAATTCTCACATGCTGAATAGGCCATCATTGCATTTGCTCCATGTGTTTGCAATTTTACAAGTAACTCTACCTGTTTTGTTAAAGCTGCTATCTATGCATTGGTAGATATTGTGCTGTCTAATTCATACATTCCTGCTGCCTTTGGTGGTACCACTCTTTCTGATGAGAACATTGAATGTGTGGTAGCAATTAACTCAAATAGGTGCATGGTTTGTTGCACTGATTACCCTATGATTGATCCACCAGCAAAGGCATCAACTTGAGATTTTGACAGTGGTGTAAGTCCAATGTAGAAGTATCGCACTTGGTTTCCTTGAGTGATTCCATGGTTTGGGCATTTTCTTATCATCTCATTAAACCTATTCCATGTTTCGTAATAGCTTTCTCCCTCTTTCTATTGAAAAGTTTGAATTTCTAATCTGATTTTAGCTACCCTCGCCGATGGGAAAAATTTATTACAAAACTTCCTGGTTAGTTCTTCCCATGTAGTAATGCTGGCGTGAGGCTTAGCATTTAACCACTCCAACGCAGCATCTCAATGTAAATGGAAATAATCGTAGTTTAATAGCATCTTCATTGACCCTCGGAGCATGAAAGTTCTGACAGTTTCTGAGAAATCTAGAGATATATGTGTTTGGATTTTCTTGATGTAGTCCGTAGAATTGCAGGGTGTTGCTCATCAAGTTAATCCAATCTGGCCTGATCTGAAAGTTATTCACCCCAAAATCTGGATACACAATACTGGAGCGCATGGGTGCTATTATAGGTGTCAGGAACATTGATACTGACAAATCACCTTCATTTATTTCCCCTCGCTCATGCTGCTGTTCCCGTGGTACCACCATTCTTGCGGCCATTCGTTCAATCGGCTGAATAGGGATATGTATTTGTTGATTGTCAGTCATTTGATATTACTATTTTTGTTTTGTGTTCTTTGTGTCTTTGTCTGAAGGTACGTTCTACCTTCGAATCAAACGGTTCAAGATCGTTACCTTGGGCATGAAGCATACAACGAACACAATTTTCTGTAAATAAAAGAAAAATAAACAAATCAAATAACAGTTAAAATAAAAAAATAAATTAAGACTAAAAGAAATTGTCACCGGCAATGGCGCCAAAAACTTGTTGTAAAATTTTGTTTCGCAAGTGTACGACCCGAAACAAGTAATAGTGGACCTAAGAGTTCGGATTGTCGATCCCACAATGACTATTTTTTAGCACTTAATTCAATCTTTCTTTAACTACTATTTGACTAACACAAATCAAAGGTTGTAAAATCTGGGTTTTAATCAAAATTTTAGAAAATAAATGAATGTTCACATGATTGGTTGGAGAATCAAATAATGAATGGATGTTAGGGTAGAATAACTTCACTAATTGATCAACTTTACATCTCAAATTAAAATTCAATTCTAATGTAGTGCTCGATCGAATTCTCCTATTGTATTCAATTTACCCTTCTCGAGTTCTCATTGAGCCTATTCAACTAATTAAATTTCATATCTATATGAAAATTCAACTTAGTTAAACGAGTTTTATGTCTTAGGAATTCAATTATGACCGCAATAAATGGTATATATATCTCTACTCGTTAGACTAATGTACTGAATTTTACTACATGGTCTAAATCCTAAACTCATGTCTCTATTTGTAAAGAATTCACAAAAATCATCAAATTATTGATCAGATAATTTAATGCATTCAACTCATAGCAAAATCAACACATGGAAAAATTAAAAATTGAGAATCTTAATAAGAGAATGTAAAGGATCCCAATTAGTTACATTATTCCCCCTAACAATGAATTTAGCTACTGATAATGCAAGAAGAAAAATAGGAAATTGTCTTCGAATACATCACCGGATTTGTAATAAAGATGTAGAAGAAAAATGTAGAATTCTTGCACCAATATCTCCTTCCTCTCCAAATGAATACTTCTAATCTTCAATTGATTGGTGTTAATCTTCTTGAATTTCTCTTTTGAATCTCCCTTCTTGTTGTCTTCTCTCCAATATGTCAAGTGCGTGGCTTGATCTCACAAATTTTTAGTGTGCGGCTCCCCCCTAATTTAGGTCTTCAATTGTGTATTTATAATGTCTTGGAGTTTAGGGAAAGATTTTGAGATGAGTTGGGTCGAGAAAGAATGGTAAAAATCCAAAAAATTACTCCCGCACGGCGGTGCCTGGGCGTTGACTTTCTGTCAAAATTTCAGCATCATGGCGCCTGGGCGCTGAGGACTACTTTGGTTGCACTGCACAGTCTTTAGTATTTTTATCATAATTCTTTTTCCCGATATCCGATTGAGGTGATTCAAGATGCATTGGAAAGGTAACTCAAAGGGCTACAACTTTCTTCAGATATTATTCTCCAATTCGATCGTTTACTATGTCAAAAAATGAGTCCAATATGAGGCTAAAAACTAGGTGCAAAACTTTTTGGTTGGAAAATGATTTATGATCATATCTTAACTAAATTTGATCCCTTTGACACCTTCCTTCATCCAATTGGCTTCTAGAACTCTCGGATCTTCATTTCAAGTTTCGACACGACTTTTAATTAATTGCATTTTAATCCTCGAGCTTTGGATCTCTTACATTTTACTCAGAGCAAGACAGCAGACAAAGCCCCCGGACGGGATCGAGTCCACATCTGGCTCAATAGAAGAAAGAGGTTTGTAACCTTAGCTATCAGTTCTAACTTTTGCATATTTCCTTCCTTTGGCCTCTTTTAGCTCTTGTTTTCTTCACTTCCATCAATCTACAAAACAATGCCAAAATAACTTGTTAGCACTTCTAAAATACTCTCTAAGATAGCAAAATCATGAAATTAATGGCATAATATAACGAGTGTAAATCACTCATCATGGGGTCTTTAATCTGTTGTTAGGTCTTTCTACACTCAAATGCGTGAATTAGAAAAAGAAGTCATAACTCTCAAAACTTTAAACAAAAGAAGCATCTTCTGTATGATATGCAGCAAGGATGCATGATTATTTTTTTATTTTTTATTTTTTATCTTTCTTTCATGATGCAGCCTATAATAATATTGGAGAAGTATAAACAATTACTCAAAATAGGAAAAAAGGTGCAAAATTATGAACAAAAGTGTACATAACGTGGTGTGGAGCTTCCTAAAATTTGGGGAAATGAAGACCAACGACTAACATTATGAAGACATAATAAAATTAGAAGCACGGTCTCCCAACTTTACCCTACACGTCATTTACCATAAATATAAGGTCAAGATGCAAATAGTATAAAATCAACTGAAATCTACAAAAACTATTGATTTTTTAGGCTAAAAACAGTACTAACACTATATTGGAGTACTTTTAGAGTATCTCCAAGTGGCTCTTTAAAGTGAACTTTAAAATTAAGTTCCTAAAGATTCTTTATTTTAACTTTTTAAAATAGAGAGCGAATTTTATTATACATTTGGATGGAGAGTCAAACTTATCACAACACAAAAATGCTACAGGAGATGATAATGCAAGTCATGGCTCCATACAAGACTCATATACTGCATGTCGTCAGCTCATACCTGGCTAGAAATACTGGAAGCTTCTAATTCTTTTTGTTTTGGTTGTTATTCTGAGTTGTATATTTTTCCCCTTTTCTGTTATGTTGCTAAAGGATATATAGGAAACCTGTATATATACGCAGCATTCTTTTGTACAAAATCAATTCAATTTCAACTAAATACAAAGCATAGCAATTTCTCTCATTTTTCTGATTGTAATTTCTTCTTTCTTCCTTTCTTACAAAACTTAGTCTCTATTTGTATTTTATCTAGGTTGTATTTAATAACATTATAAGTTTCAATACTTCATTCTTCAACTTATTAGTATTATATAGAATATTTTACCACTGATATCTAAAAATGAGGGAAAACAATAAATGAAATGTTGAGGAAAGTAAATTAAAGGGTAAATTTGTATAAAATATTTTACTCTTTAAGCCCTTATTTGATTCTCATTCTTCTAAAATTTCATTCTTTCAAAATTCATTTTCAGCCACACATTTTTTAATAAAATAATATTACACGCAAATCAAAACTCTTCTTTAATTTTTGGCCACACATTCTCCATCAATCTACTATTTAAAATGCATTATTTCTCCCAAAATAGGGATTAAACAAGGGCTAAATTTAAAGATACTCTTTGAAGATGCTCTTTAAAAATAGTCTTTTGGAACTGTTCTTAGTCATTACAATATATTCGAGCCACTGAGCAATCTTGTAGTATTCTATCCTGCAAACTTCAATAGGGTTTTGGAATGATGCAATAGAAAAAGACCAACTTTCTAAGTCACCAAAGAATTGAAGATGCTCTTTAAAAATAGTCTCTTGGAACTGTTCTTATTCATTAAAATATATTCGAGCCACTGAACAATCTTGTAGTATTCTATCCTGCAAACTTCAATAGGGTTTTGGAATGATGCAATAGAAAAAGACCAACTTTCTAAGTCACCAAAGAATTGAAACATGTATCAACCAAGTGAAATCCTACACGTAGGGCATATATTATTTTTATTTTAAATTCAACATTTTATAGGATGACACTTTAATGGTAAACCGTTGGCATTCAGCACCATAATGTGTGGACTAAAGTGAAAAACTATATTTGAGATTGGGAGCAGACTCATGAATGATGAAAGGGCTTGCATTTAAATATAATAAACGATATCAATGTGCTTATAAAAAA